CCAGAGAGGGGGCGAGCGGAAGCCCTGGTTAGCGAGGGCATCTGGTGGGCCAGGTCCTGGTTAGTTACTGTTCAGTAGGTGAAGATGGGCTGGGACTTGGCAGAAGGGGTGTGAGGCTCTTGCCTCTCCTGTTGGGAAAAACATGAAATCAGAAGGAAATTAATCACATTATCCTTGTTAAAATCACAACACACATTGGAGTCAGGTTGTGTTTTTGATACAACTGGAAGAAGGAGGTGGTCTGACTTGAATGAACGAAGAAAAAGAAAGCAGAAGATGTGGGGAAATACACAGGCAGAGAAAGTGGGGAGCAGGGGAGTTCCCACACTGCCTCCTTCCCTAAAAGATAACGGATTTGCCTTTGAATTAGAGCCTGGACGCCAAGGCCGTTCAGAGCCTGGGGCTCATACACGGGTCTCTGTCCCCTCCGACCTGGCATCTCGTAGCTGGCACGCGGCGGCAGTCATGTGGCCTCAGGGGAGGTCCAGGCAGGGGGAGATGATGGGGTCCTGAACCTCCAGAGCCTCCTCGTTCGACGTCCTTGTGATCCCGGCCGCGTGACTCTCCGGAGCCATTCACCTGGTTGTCCTCATTCAGAAAGGCCGCCCTGGCTGCTGGTGGGTGGGTCCCCTCCCTCCTGCTGTTCCCCGGGGCTCCCCAGGGCTCCCAGCCCTTCAGCCCCATCCACCCGGGCTCTGGCCTCGGGCAGAATCAGGGTCAGGGAAGAACTGGGGAAGAAGAGGAAGCTGAGAGCCTTTGTCAACAACCCAGGACTTTGTTCTGTTTACACATTTCCACCCGATGCCCCCTCCAGCCTGCCCCAGCTGTCCCCAGACTTGTCCTGGGGCCCCGGCCTGTTGCTCCTGATGCATTTCTTATCCCAAACCTTCTTTCCCTAACCTCAGCCCCACTTCCACCCGGACACACAGGGCCCATTTCATTCCCTAGAATCAGAGGAAGTGTTCATCACAGTTTGGGAGGGTGCATGAGGGGTCTTGAAACCCCATTTCAGAGCCCGGAACGCATTTGCCCGTGGAAATCATGACACGAGTAACGAGCATCTGCCGTCACGCTTCACGCTAGCCTCTGACGGAACTGTGCTTCTTGATGACTCTGGATTAAATAGGCTTCCATTGGATCACGGTCTGTCTGTGCCACTCCACTGGCTGCGTGTGTTGGGCCAGTTCCCTGGTCTCGTTCAGCCTCGGTTTCCCCATCTGCAGAAATGGGGGGAGCCGGGTCTGTCACAGGACCATCGTGAGGTTCAGATCATGTAGATGTCAGTGCGGCCAGGCTCCTCCCTACCCGCCCCTGACACACGCCTGCCTCCTGCATTTCACTGCGCCAGCCGCCATGTATCTCTGCTCCCATAAGATAATGTTTCCCAGGTGCCAAACGCCTGACGGGCAAAGTTTCTGTTTGGGTGGCCGTCTGGCACGTAGGGTCACGGCCAAGAGTGTTCAGAGAGGACTTAGACCCTCTCCTGCTAAAATATCTGAGAAAAAAGAAATTCAACACCCAGCTCAACACCAGTTAGGAAGAGTAATAACTATTCGTAAAGCACGTTCTGTGCTTTATATGCGTAATCTGAACTTAGGTACCTGTTCTAGGCTTATTTGTCCACCCTCAAAATTCATATGTTGATGTCCCATTCCCCAGAATCTCAAAGTGTGGCTGTATTTGTATAGGGCCTTTAAACAGGTAATTAAGTTTAAATGAGGTTTCTTAGGGTGGCCCTCATTCAGCATGACTGGTGTCCTGTAAGGAGAGGAAATTAGGACACAGAATGCAGACGCGGTGAGAAGGCAGCCGTCTGTAAGCCAGGGAGAGAGACCTCTGAAGGAACCAGCCCTGTTGACCCTTCATCTGTGACTTCCAGCCCCCAGAACCATGAGAAAACACGTTTCTGTTGTCGAAGCCCCGGAGTCTGTTACGGCCCCCCTCGCAGACTGATCCAGTGCCATCGTCCACATTTTAGGGTAAGAAAACTAAGACCCAGAGAGGCTAAGTAACTTGCCCAAGAGCACACAGCTAATTAGTGGCTGACGCGGGATTCCTGCTGGGGCTGTGCTCTCAGTCATTCTGCTGTGCTACCCCCAAGACCCCAGCCCGGAGTTGCCTCAAAGACTGTTTAGGTCATGTTAGAGCAAAACAGGTTAATTTTCCAGGGCTGTTTGTACGTAGAAAGTTCCAGTCTTGATAGAGACATATAAGCTTCTCTTATGGGCAGGGAGTGTGCCTGTCTTACCTCACTCTCCCCAGAGTCTAGGAAGGTTCCTGGAAGGAGCTCAAGGCTGAAGTAATTAAATTATTTTGTGTTTGAAAAAAAGCAGACAAAGCAGTATGTTCATTCAGCGGTATGACTGACTTACGTAAGTGTCTTCCACGACGCGTTATGAAGCATAAGGTCTTCCATGGCGTATTACGAGGCGTAAGGTCTGCCGTTGTCTTTTCTGTTGATCTTGACACCTTTCCGCCTTTTTTAATATATATTTTAATTTTATTGGATTATAGTTGACTTACAATGTTGTGTTAGTTTCGGGTGTACAGCAAAGTGATTCAGTTATACATATACATATGTTTCATTCTTAGATTCTTTTCTCATATAGGTTATTCCAGAGTATTGGGTAGAGTTCCCTGTGCTCTACAGTAGGTCCCTGTTGGTTATCTATCTTACGTATAGTAGTGTGCAGTGATACCTTTACGTCTTGATGAATATTCTAAAAGCTGCTCTTCCCTGGCTCTTCAGGTAGGCTTCCTCGCTCACAAATTTGGAAAGGTCTCCTAGAGAGTTATTTTTAAATGTTATTTCTTGAAATCGTTGTTACCCATAGAGATTGCACTCTGCCTGGCCATTCCCGCTCTGCGTGCTGACGGCCCCGGGAGGTTTGAAGGCCTTCGTGCCCGAGATTCCTGGGTGGAAGTTTACTTCCATGAACTGTCCCATGTGCCTCTGGATTAGGACGCCATTGAATCATCACAATGCCGTGTCATTGCAGAGTTGAACTCACCTAGCTTTGAAATCAGAGGTTGAGAGGTTCATGTTTTCAGGTGTAAAGTAAATGAACTCTTACATGGAAATCGAAATGTTTAACTTGGTCCAGTGTCCCGGCTTACACTTCATTTCCCGTGCACTTGAGTAAGACGCTGAAGAACAAAAAGAAACAGCAGAAGCCATTAGCTTGAAGAGTTAGTGTCTCGGAGCCTCCCTGGTGGTGCAGTGGTTAAGAATCCGCCTGCCAGTGCAGGGGAGGCGGGTTCGAGCCTTGGTCTGGGAAGATCCCACATGCTGCGGAGCAGCTAAACCCGTGCGCCACAATTACTGAGCCTGTGCCCTAGAGCCCGCGAGCCACAACTACTGAGCCCACATGCTACAACTACTGAAGCCCAGGCACTCTAGGGCCTGTGTTCCGCAACAAGAGAAGCCCGCACACTGCAACGAAGAGTAGCCCCCGCTCGCCACAACTAGAGAAAGCCCGCGCGCAGCAACGAAGACTCAACGCAGCCAAAAATAAATAAATAAAATAAATATATTAAAAAAAAAAAAAGAATTGGTGTGTCCACTTGAAGATCCAAGTGAGTGAGCACTTATCACGGGTGTGCTGTCACCTCACACTCCTTGCCCTGCGTGTGGCACTGAGCGGAGCACGTGTCCCGGCGCAGAGAACGCAGCCAGGCGGGTCTGCTCTGGAAGCCAGCGCCCAACTCTCCGTGGTCGGAGACGATCATGATGCCTCCTTTCATTCCTCTGAGCACCCCACCTGGCAGGGGAGTAGGAGCAAAGGTAATTCTCAGGACCAAGCTGTCTTTACTGCAGGGAATTAAGGGAGAAGGAGGTACAAGCTACCCATAAAAGCGCTGTGGTGTCCTTTCAGGAGAAAACAAACATTTGCCGGTGGCCACAGTTTCCATGCCACGAAAACCTCCTCCCTGACTTAGCTGGGAGACGTGGCGGGTGAGCGGCATGGCGGGCCCCCCGTCCAGGTCCACGTCCGCATCTCTGGGGCCGACGTGCCCTCCTCCCCTCGGCTCACTTTCTACAAGGTTCCGGAATTCCGTGCATTTTAACCAGGTTAAAGCATTTTTCCTTAGGGCTTTTCCAGCTGTGTTCCTCAGGCACAGGAAGGGATAATTTTCACATTGTAGCTCAGCACTGACTCACATATGTGACTGAAGCAGCAATTCTATGTTTGATGCACTCTGAGATTTTCTATTTTGTTCCCTTTTAAAAAGAAGACAGCACGTACACACAGGCTGGTCACAACCCCGTTAAACCGATTTTCTGATCCATTAGTGGTTTTTCAATGAGAATGTGAAAAATTCTGCCTTAGATTTAATGTACCGGCTATTTTGTTTTCTTCTAATTCACTCATCACAACTTGTGGGAAGTCTCTGCAGTGTTGAAAGAAAAGAACAGAAGGAAGGAGGGGTATGGGTTTCTGCCCAGTGGGGCCGCTCCACTGCCAGGTGGCCCCGGGAGGGCACGGAGTGTCCTCGGATGGAGGAGAGGGTGCTGGCCTGAGCACAGGCCAGCCCTGAGGGGTGCTGAGAGCTGGGGCGGCTCTGCGAGCTCATTTTGTCCAACTTCCCGTCCAAAACGCATACGACGTTTTCTGTCCTGTCTTTTTATTTTATTTTTTTAGGTCTTTTGTAGTAGTGGCACAGGGATGCTCTAATCATTTTCGGACTTTACACTGTTTTATCCTCGTGGTTTGCTGGTGCTCTAGCAGGTTTTTGAGGAAAGCAGAGAGATCGGTTTTGGTAATAACCAGCTTTTAGGCATTTAGCCACTGTCACCTTCTCTGCTGGTGAGTGGCTGGTCACCAGCCACGGGACCCAGTCCGTCCTGTATCAGGTGCAGGTGCTGCCTCTTGGACCAGGCCCCGTCCTGAGCCCTTGTCGGGTCGCCGGACGCTGAGCCCCGTGCCCGCGTGGAGCCCATGCCGGGTCCCCACGCGCTGAGCCCTGTCCCCGCACTGAGCTTTGCCGTGTCTCCGCAGGCCTCGGCAGGACCCGCAGGAAGACAAGCGCCCGAGATGCATCGCCCACACCCAGCATGGACGCGGAGTTCCCCGCCAACGGAGGCGGCGCCGACCGCATCTACGACCTCAGCATCCCGGCCGTGGTCAAGTTCGCGTACGCGGCCGAGCGCGAGGACGAGCTGTCGCTGGTGAAGGGCTCGCGCGTCACCGTCATGGAGAAGTGCAGCGACGGCTGGTGGCGGGGCAGCTACAACGGGCAGGTGGGCTGGTTCCCATCCAACTACGTGCTGGAGGAGCTGGACGAGGCGGCCGCCGACGCGCCCGGGGGCCCGAGCCTGCGGCCCAGCGCCGCGCTCAGCAACGGCCAGGGCGCGCGGGTCCTGCACGTGGTGCAGACGCTGTATCCCTTCAGCTCGGTCACCGAGGAGGAGCTCAACTTCGACAAGGGCGAGACCATGGAGGTGATCGAGAAGCCCGAGAACGACCCCGAGTGGTGGCGCTGCCGCAACGCGCGCGGCCAGGTCGGCCTGGTGCCCAAGAACTACGTGGTGGTGCTGAGCGAGGGCCCGGCCCTGCACGCCGGCTCTGGCCCCTCGGGGCCTGCGCGCGCCGGCCGGTTCGCGGGCCGCGAGTGGTACTACGGGAACGTGACGCGCCACCAGGCCGAGTGTGCGCTCAACGCGCGGGGCGTGCAGGGCGACTTCCTCGTCCGCGACAGCGAGTCCTCGGTGAGTGCGGGGTTGGGGGGGCAGAGGGGTGTGCCCGTGTGTGTGCACGTGTGTGCGGGTCTGTGTGTGTGATGTGTACACGTGTGCGTGTGTGCGCGGGGCGCGCAGGGCGGCTTGCTCATCAGGGACAGAGTCCTCGGTGAGTGGAACGCTCGAAGGAAGTGGAGAGTATGTATGTGTGTGCGTTCGTGTGCCATTCCCTTCTCAGGTGTGTGAATGGCCTCAAGCAGCAAGGGTATTTGGGGCTCATGTTAAGAGGGATGAACACAGTTGGTCTGTGTTCTGAGACCCCCCGCTCTGCCGTGGGCTGAAATCCGCCTGGACTGCCCGGCCTTAGCTGCACCTCTTCTCCGGGAGGTGCGTTCTTGCAGGTGGCACGGTAAGTACAGTGTGTTGTTAGCTTCTGAAGGTTTGCTGCCTCTTGACTGAGATCACCCCTGTTCTGTCGTGCAGACTCAAATGTCATTCTCTCCCCTGGTTTCCCCGTTAATGACCCCGTCTCAGCCCTGGCGGTTGACCTTGTTTCCTCTCTGGGTCTGAGACACATCAGATGTTCTCGGCAAGGCGGGCACCCGGTTTCTGACACAGCCTTTTGTTGTTTGGTTGGTTTTGCTTTTTAAGCCGTGTAATCCTCAGTACATCTCTGCCTCAGGCACCACTGAGTTTATTTCTGAAAAGATTTCAAAGCGCTTAGGAAGAGAACAGAAACGGAAAAGACAGTTGTCGAGAGAGAGGAGTGTGTGTGTGAGCAGAGTCGGCGGCGTGAGGCCTCTCGACTCGGAGCAGATTGGTTTCCAGCACAGACTCGGAGATCTGTGTTTCAGGTGCATGGCCGAGCCCGTCTGGGGGAACCGGGCTGTGTCTCGCGAATTAGCCTTTTTGTGTTTTCGTTGTGGAGGTACTACTAAACCGATTTTGTCGGTCCCTGCAAATACACCTTCCAGAGTGAGTCCCCCCGAAAGGAGAGTTTTGAAGATCGAGTCCAGTGTAATTTCCTTTGTACTGGTTCCTGCAGACATCAGCTTAATTTTTAATTATTTTTTCTTTTTTGGCTGCATTGGGTCTTCGTTGCTGCACGTGGGCTTTCTGTAGCTGCGGCGAGCGGGGGCTACTCTTCGTTGCAGTGCGTGGGCTTCTCATTGCGGTGGCTTCTCTTGTTGCAGAGCACGGGCTCTAGGCGTGCAGGCTTCAGTAGTTGTGGCACGCGGGCTCAGTAGTTGTGGCACACGGGCTTAGTTGCTCTACGGCATGTGGGACCTTCCTGGAACAGGGAACGAACCCGTGTCCCCTGCATTGGCAGGCGGATTCTTAACCACGGTGCCATCAGGTAAGTCCCAGTTTAATTTTTTAAACGCAACCTGTAAGACTGGTAAGCTCGTGCTACGTACTGTAATTGTTGTCTTCTGAGAAGGTTGATACCACAATAAGTAAGTGCATAGTCAAGGTTCCTGTTGACTGATCTGGGAGGAGCTCGAGGGCCCAGAAGTGATTTTCCCCTTCAGAGAGGGGGCCAGATGTGGTGGTGGTGGAAACTGGCCCCCCTGATGGCGGCAGCAGGTCGTGGAGTCGGTGGCACCTGCCCTGTGCTTGGGCAAAGCGCTCAGGGCCTGAACACTAACTGCATCTGAAGTCTGAATACTGAGCTCTTCTTTGCTTTCTTTTTTTTCTTAAATTTTAATTGAAGTATAGTTGATTTACAGTGTTGTGTTAATTTCAGGTCTACAGCAAAGTGAATCAGCTATACATATACATATATCCCCTCTGTTTTAGATTCTTTTCCCATATAGGCCATTATAGAGTATTGAGTAGAGTTCCCTGTGCTATACAGTAAGTAGGTCCTTGTTGATTATCTGTTTTATAAATAGTAGTGTGTGTATGTCAACCCCATTCTCTCAATTTATCCCTCCCCCCTTTATCCCCTGGTGACCATAAGTTTGTTTTCTACATCCATGGCTCTACTTCTCTTTGGTAAATAAGTTCATTTGTACCTTTTTTTTTTAGATTCCACATATAAGCGATACCATAAAGACAAAGATCATATGATATCGCTGAGGTTTTCTTATCCAGAGTTGGTGGTTTCTGGCAGGACATCACGTTAAGTTGTTCTAACGTGAGGTCAGCTCCGTGCACAGATCAGGGCGGAGGCTTCAGAGAATCGGGTCCGGAGCACTTCCAGCCCTCCTGAGAGAACCTCAGAGGAAGCACCGGTTACCCGATCAGAGTAGGAGGTGATCAAGGGACAGGTTCGATCCGAGTCGAGGAGTATTGTCTTGATTTTGGAATGTTGGGTTTGAAGAGACGTCTTAGAAGGGAGAGGGCTGAAAGCAGCCCCCCAGTGTGGAGACAGCGCCCCACGTCCTTCTGTCCGTGTCTGGGGGTAGGGGACAGTCCTTGGCAGAAGGTAGAGGGACATCGCTGGCTTAGGGAGGACCTGTCGCTTTTCCATGGGACACACATGCAGGCAGTGGTCACTGTCTGATCTCGGGACCGAGTCCTTTTGGAGGTGGAGGGGTACTTTATCTGGCCTCCATCCCAGAACTTGAAGAAGCTCCAGTGTCACATTTGTCTCACATTATTAGAGAAAAAGCTAACTTTTTCTAAATCATTGAAACATTAATTGTTTATATTTTATTTTAACCATTTTTTAGGGGAGCCTTTCCAAATTTTTTTCCTTCCGTTTTAACTTAGAAAACCAAGCTCACGACAGCTCATCGTGTGCTGGGACCGTTGATTCCCGGGGCAGAGGAAGGGGTTTGTTTGCTGGGACCTGGTCAGCTCTGCACCCGCGGTGGCACTGGCTTGGGCTGAAGGCCGCCAGGTGGCCCGAGGGTGCGCAGGGCCGCTTGTGTCCTGACGGAACTCGCCGTGACGTGGCACCTTCTGCTGTTCGCGTGCCTGCCTTGTGCCAACGGCATGCTCCGCGGACTCTCAGGCGTGTCGCTGCTCTCACCCTGAAGAGCCATGACAGAGAGAGGCCGGCTGCGCTGTCTTCCTGCTCGTAGCCAGTCCGTGCTCAGCTCGTCTGCAGCGGCGAGGAGCCGTCCGGATGTACAGATGGACAAGTCCCTTGCCTATTCCTTTTCCGCCGTCCACTGCATCTGCCTTCCTGCCACTGCCTCCCCGTCTCCTTCCTCCCCTCCTTTGTCTTTTTCTCTGTTCATTTTGGCATCTCTAAGGTGAGAGCCTGGGCTCCAAAGCCGCCGCCAGGCCGGTGTGAGCCCTTAGCTTCATAATCTTGCACGGTTCTGGGTCAGCGTTCCTGCCGGACTCAGAGGCATCCCCATTTAATTTCCTTTCCTTCCTTGTGGTCTGTGGGCCCAGGGCTCGCCTTGGGTTGAGGGAACTGCGGGACCTCCTCTGTAAGCACAGCCTTTTTAGAGTGCATCTTCAAGATGCGTTTCATTTTTTAAATATCCTGAGGGATTCCAAGGTAAATAAGCTCGACTCTTGCTTGGTATTTTGCATTTAAAAATATTTCATATTTTTCTGTTTTGAAAAGTAAAAATATACCCAGCTCTGAGTCCTGGGAAATCTGTGCTTGCGGGGGATGGATACGGGGGGGAGGGGGAGGGAGGGATGTGCATATTTCAGAAAAAGAAGCAAAACTTTGGCATATCCTGCAACATCCCGGGTCAGTGATATGCTGGGTGTTTCAGAGGTATCTGTTAGACATGTTTTATCAGTCAATGAATGAACGAGACCACCCTGCTTTGGCTGTCCTTCCTGTCCTGAATCTTAATATTGACTGTTCTTTCTCCATCTTCTCTCTCCCGCTCCCTTGCTCTCCTCCCTCACCTGCGATTGTCATTTATCCTCAGCAGCTAAAGATGAAACGGTATGGCTTCTTATTCTCCATATTTAACCATCATACCTCCACCTGCTAATCCAAACCTCATTAAATCTAGCAAATTCAAAATTCCTACCTGCCTTCTGATGCTCAGCGTAAATCCTTATATATTTGTTCAGTCTTATCCTGTGGATATGGTTAGGAAGCTCTACTTACGATGGAGAATAACCAGTAACTAGATTTCTGTGTGCTCTGTAAGTGGTCAGTGTTTTATTTCTTCCATTACTATAGAAAGTGACAGGTTACAACTAGGATGAGGTCTGCAAAGCGTCAGCCTGTGGTATAGGAAGGCATTTTTCTCTGTACGACATTAAGGATCCCAAAGAGAGCATCTGTTTCACCTTATTTATTGTGTCCGCCAGTAGTATTTAGATACTAATTTTTAGTCATACAGCACATTCACGTGTGAAAAGACTTGCTAAAGGTAACTTACTGTATATATTGGCCACACTAACAGTCTATTTGGGTTTCATCTCTTACTCTTTTAAAAAAAATCTATTAAAATTATTTGGCCAGGAAGAAACAGAATAGAAGGATTAGCATAGTTCCTTGCTATATTTTTCAAATTGCATTTCTTATAGTAATTGGAACTTTTTTTTTTTTTTTTTTTTTTTGCGGTACATGGGCCTCTCACTGCTGTGGCCTCTCCCGTTGTAGAGCACAGGCTCCGGACACGCAGGCTCAGCGGCCATGGCTCACGGGCCCAGCCGCTCCGCGGCATGCGGCATCTTCCCGGACCGGGGCACGAACCCGCGTCCCCTGCATCGGCAGGCGGACTCCCAATCACTGAGCCACCAGGGAAGCCCTGTACCTGTAGTTTTTAACAGCACACACCCACAGGCAGACCCGGAGTGAGGGACGGGGGGCTACCGCCCCAGCAGGTGCACGTGGGCCCTTCCGGCCCGTGTTTTCTGCCCTGGTTGTGGTTTCTTCCCCTGGTGAAGGGGAAGCACCTTGTGGGGCGAGGTGAGAAGCCTGGACAGAGGGAGGAACGTTTGCATTCAGCTCTGGTCGGTGCTTGCTGAACATTTCCTTCTTGGAGGCAGGCAGGCCCACCTCTTCTCTCCCCGCTGCCAGGGGTCTTCACCGCGTGTCCTTTGGAAACAGTTCCTTGGCGACTTGCAGAAGAAATTCTACAAGAAGCATTTATGTT